TAACGGCCTTATCTCCATCATGCACAGAATCATCACGTGGGTGATCGTCGTTAGTAGCCATCTAACCTGTAATAAACATAAACATAAACCCAATATAAAATTCCATAGTCATTTAAATATATATATATATATATATATATATATATATATATATATATATATATATATATATATATATATATATATATATATATATATATATATATATATATATATATATATATATATATATATATATATATATATATATATATATATATATATATATATAATGACAATGCCAAAAATTAACACAAACATAAACTTAAACATAAACACAAACATAAACATAAACATTTTAATATCCTACCTCTTTCACTAACATCTCTTTCTTTTCTTGGTTGGAACATGAATTACTTATTTCTTAACAATGCAGACGAATGAAATTATCCAAATTCTCTCATTATGATCATTTCTGATATATGATTCATTCGCTATAATATTCTCATCTTGATCATTTATAATATACGACTCATTCTGTCTAATACATGACTCATTCTCATCATCAATACCACCTTGGTCTACACCGTTATCATCAACCACTTTGTTAGATAAAAGCACTATAGAACATTTTGTACTCGCCGGGTCAATGACATAGAACACTTGTTTAGCTTGAGAGGCTAGAATAAAAGGCTCTTCTTTGTACCCCTCTCTATTAAGATCCACTTGCAAAAATCCTGACATATCCATTCGTATGCCACCACTACTTACCCACTTGCAACCAAAGATAGGAATCTGAAACTTCTTGTAATCAAACACCCAAATATGCTTGATAACTCCAAAATATGACAGATTTTCATATTTGGGATTTAGGTCCTTTATACTAGAAATATGCATTGCTTCAGCAAGCACGGTGACACCACTATTTTGCATAGTACTTTTATCATCTTATTCTTTGGTATAAAATGTTTATCCATTAATTGTGTATGCGCTATAGGAAAACACATGCAAACTTGGACCATATGCCTAACATCTCAACCTTTCTGTTATTGAAGCGGGATCTGAATGAAGCTTTGAAAAAATATGATCCTTAAACCATGGTATAAAACTTTGATTGTGCTCCCGTACTATCCAAATTTCATTTCTATTCTGATTTAACCCTCGGAGTATATCCTTGTTCATTTCAACATATGGCTCAACCTCACTGTCATTGTGCAGAACATACAGATGCACTTGATCCCGTTCATCTTTTGATACTGTCACAATTTTATTTCCAATTAATCTTTTACCTTCCTTTTTTTTCAAAAATATGACTTTTTGGGAGTCCAATGGATTGAACTTTGGACAAATATTCAGTATAAAACTCAACCGCTTCTTCAACAATGTATCGCTCAACAATACAACTCTCTTGGCGACTTTGGTTTTTCACGTACCCTTTTAATACTTTCATATAACGTTCAGAAGGGTACATCCATCTCATATAAGCTAGGCCGCACAACTGTGTCTCTTTCATAAGATGAACAACTAGATGTACCATTATGTCAAAAAATTAGGGAGGAAAATACATTTCAAGCTCACACAAAGTAATAACAATTTCTTTTTGCAATGTTGGTAAGATCTCAGGATCAATCACCTTACTACAAATTGACCTAAAGAAAAAACACAATTTAGTTATCGCACTCCTTACTTTATCTGGAAAAATAGAACGTATACCTATTGGTAGAAAATTCTCCATTATAACATGGCAATCATGTGTCTTTAAACTCTTTAACTTGAGGTCTTTCATAAACACAAGTCTTCTAATATCTGAAGAGTATCCTTCTGGAACTTTAACTTCACTTAGAAACTTACATAATATCTTTTTCTCCTTTCTAGATAGAGTAAAAGGAGCAGGTGGTAGATATGTTTGGTTTCCTTTCTTCACGGGTCCTAGTTCAGTTCATATTCCCATCTTTAACATGTCCTCCCTTGCTTTAAGGCCATCCTTATACTTTCCTTTAATATTGAGTAACGTACCAATAACACTTTCAAATACATTTTTTTCAATATGCATAACATCGAGAAAATGTCTCACATACAGAGACTTCCAATATGGCAATTAAAAAAAATAGATCTCTTCTTCCACCCACCTTTGACAATCGTATGCGCAAAAGGCTTGCCAAACTGAGTACACACATCTTTCACCTTTTCAAAAATCTGGTCACATGACAATGCAGATGGAGCTTTACGTTGTTCGGTGTCTCCATTGAATGCTTTTCTCCATGCACGGTAGTGATGTTTAGAATGTAAGAATCTACGATGATCGAGAAACACATTCTTCTGACAAAGTTCCTAACGCGTCGTATCAGTCCCATCTTCACAAACAGGACACGCACGTTGCCCTTTAATGCTATACCTAGATAGATTCCCATATGCTGAAAAATCATTAATTATGCCAAACAATATCGCCCTCAAATTGAAACTTTGTTTCCTATATCCATCATAAACCTCCACCCCATTCTCTCACAAAAATCTTTAAATCTTCGATCAAAGGTGTCAAGTATACGTCTATGTCATTGCCTGGTTGTTTAGGTCCAGATATTAACATAGATGACATCATGTACTTATGCTTCATACATAGCCATGGAGGTAGGTTATAAATCATAAGAATCACAGGCCATGTGGTATGTGAGATACTTTGAAGACCATGCGGGTTCATTCCATCAGTAAATAAAGCCAACCGAAGGTTTCTTGCTTCTTCTCCAAAATCAGGATAATCATTATCAATTTTCGACCACTGTGGTGAATTTTCCGGATGTCGATACTTTCCATCAATAATTCTTTCATCTGTATGCCAAGTAAGGTGTCTTGCATCGGTTTCACTATGAAACATTCACCTAAATATCGGAATTATAGGAAAATACCATAAAACTTTTGCTGGAGACAATTTTTTCTTATATCGAGACAAACCGCATTTAGGGCACTCATTTAATGATGCATATTCGTTTCGAAAGAAAACGCAATCGTTTGGACAAGCATGTATCTTATCATAGCTCATGCCAATAGAGCAAAACATTTTTTTGGCCTCATATGTTCGATTAGGAAGAACATTATCCTCCAGAAGCATATCTCTCATAAGGGCTAATAACTCTGTGAAACTTTTATCTGACCATCCATTTCCCGCCTTTAAGTTGTACAACTTTAATACCGCAAACAGTCTTGTGAATTTAGTGCACCCTTTATACAACGGTTTCTCTGCATCGCTTACCAATCTCTCAAACATTTTGGGACAATCCTGAAGATCTTCTTCAAGTGCATCTGCAATCTCTTCGACTCGATCAAAGTCGTATATATCTGTGTCCTTGTCATTTGAAGCATAGGCCGTACTACTTCCCCCCCCCCCCCCCCCCGGTTCAACGTTGTCGTTACTTTTTTCACCGTGAAATATCCAACACGTATAACTTCTATCAATTCCACGCATTAGTAAATGCGATTTCAATCCATCTGCGTTAACCCGACCCACATAACAACAACCCAAGCAAGGACACTTCATTCGACTGGGGTCTTTGGCATGTTCAACAGCAAACTTAACAAATTCCAATACCCCATTATCGTACTTTTGTGACAATTGATCGGTAAACATCCATTTTTTATCCATTTTTTCTACTTATTCAAGTAAACAAAAACACTATAAACGGATTATTCTCTTTTTGTTTGAATTAAACGAATTATTTCTAGAAATTTATTTCTAGAGTTAATAACATGGGCTAAAAATAAATATATCTATATAAAAATAATTGTGTTTTTTAATTGATCGATACAAATAGAATTTGAACTTGACTTACCAAAGAAAGAAAAGGAGCTATTGGTGTCGACGACGGATGATGCGGCTTTGATGTTCTTCGAATCGGTGATGGTCTTCGACTAACTACACCAATACAAAGGGATCATCAAAAACAAGTTGTATATATATAGGTTCAAAATACTAGTAACAAAATACTAGTTCATGGAAAATATAAACATGATAAACAATTCAGAAACCAATTAAAATAACAAAAAAACCCATCATATATATCATCTTTTTTATTCCAAAACATAGAACCAAAAGAAAATGCAATAATGCTAAATGCTAAAAGTGTTGCTGTTATATATCAAGTCCTACCAAGAACCCAAAAATTAAAATGCATACATATAACCCAGTTTAGACATCAATAGGAGGATAAGTCTTAGATGTTATCATAGTACATTATCAAGGAGGATAACTCAGTTTGGACATCAATGGAGATAAAGACATTTTCAATAAAGAACATACCTTGAGAACCGGCCGGTGTGGGTGGAGAAAAACCGAGATAGACGGTGGAGGACGGAGGGGGGCTGGTACGACGGCGAAGGATTTGCGACGAAGGAGGGAATGGGTTGCGCTTACTGTTGAAAGAGGGAAAGGGTTTCGCTTCTGTATTCGTGAATCTGTGAATACACAGATTCTATTTTTTTAATTTTCATTTATAACAATTTAGACAGCGCTTTCTAAAAGCGCTAGCTAATATGGACCTATAGCAGCGCTTTTGAAAAGCGCTGACTAATAGTGTCCTTTAACAGCACTTTTCTATTTTTTTTTATGACTTTAGACAGCGCTTTCTTAAAGTGTTGTCTAAAGTGGACCTTTACCAATACTTATGATAAAGCGCTTTCTAAAACAATACTTTAGCATCGCTTTTTAAAAGCGCTGTCTAAGATCATATTTTTAGCAGTGCTTTTACTAATTATTTTATACAATACAGTTTCCGTGTTTTTTTAAAATTCACTTATAGCAGCGCTTTTGTATAAAAGCGCTGTCTAATATGCGCTGTTAAAAATCACTTTTAGCGTAGTGACTCCTCATGAAAAAATGAGAAAGTATTGGGACACAACACTGCTGTCGTGTGCCTATGCTGGAATTGGGAATGTTCACAAACTCAAATATTATAGATAACCGATAGTTATTATGAGGAAAATTTCTTGAATGTTCACTTGTGGAAAGAATAGTGAAGTTCATATTTAAGATGGATTCCATGAAAGGAGTGAGAATACCAAGAGATGGAATGAGAAATGTGACAATGAATTCAATGTGTTCTTGAAGTAATAGTTTAGCAAACTCAACAAGTGGAATAAAATGACTTAGTCCTGATGAAGAAACTATATCAATGCACTTGTTTTCTCCATGATGTTTGATTGAAAATAGATGATGAAAGATAAGCTATATTATGTTAGCTTGACAATTACTATGATGCTTTTATACAAAATTATCATATTCTAAGTTATTCCATAGTGCTTTACTTTGACAGAAATTAACTCATTTATATTTTATTTGATTTTTTTAAATATAAAAAACATAAATGGTTCTTTTTATTCATGTCATTTGTTTTTGAAGTTTATAATTCCATTTATACTAAAATGCAAATTATTATATCAGTGAATTGCTCATCACAAATTACATTGTTTAAAGTTAAAGTTTATCTATTCAAAACTTAACTTATATAAGTATGTTAAAGTGGTTAAGTATAATTTTGGAAATATTAGTATAATCGCCCAAGTAAGCTCTAAACACTTGCGCATTTGTAAAATTTCAGAGAAATATTATAATAAAGATATCTATCATATAAAAAAATAGGGCTCTTTCGTTTGCAATTTTTTTTGTCACATAATTGATTTAAAACAGCATCTAAATTATATTTCTCCTCTCTCTCTCTCTCACTCATCCATTTTTATTCCATTCTTCCATCATCAATAATAACAACGGTTTCTTCTTTTTGTTCTTCCAACTCCTCCCTCATTACTCTCAACTCTCAACTGTTTCATCTTTCATTCCTTCTAAATCCTAACTACTTCCAATGTTTAATCACTTTTGTTCTGACCGCATCTGTAGGAGATTTATCGCCTTTGCTATTGATTTCTATACTGGTAAACAATGTTCAATCGGATCAGCGACGAGGCTGTAGTGGTCAGTGGCTTTCGTTGCGGTGGTCGGAACAGTTCGTGTTCGTCAGAGATTCTGCGGTAAGTGGTTTTTTCAGCGACGACGATGTGCTTCTGTCTTTTCGATTTTCGTTAGTTTTTTTTCCTTCAGATCAATTTTTTTTAATTTTAATTTTGTTGTTGTCGTTGTTGTGATTTTAGGTTCAACTTGTTCGAATACAATTGAGAGTTTCGGGATATGGTTGGACCATGCAGAAGGTCTTTCACTTTCTCAATTTTTTCGTCAACGGGGTTTGTATCATTCTAATCATTTTCTTCTTCTTTTTGTTTTAAATTTTTTGCTTTTGATTTTTCTTATGAATTTTGTTGTTCAATTTTGGTTTTGCAGTTAGACATTTAGTTTTCGTTTTCCGGCGAGATCCGCAGAAATTACAGCTAGAGATAGGAACATCTTATATTATTATATTACTATATATAATGAATTTCACAATCACATATGATTTAGTTCTAATGGTTAAATATTGTGTATGTGTAGATTGTTCAACATGCCTTACTTGACATGCCCAGTCTTGCTTTCTTTACCACATATGCACTTTTGGTTCTCTTTTGGGTTGAGGTTTATTATCAAGCAAGTTTACTTTTTCTGTAAGTACTATTTACATTTTTAAATAACATTTTAAACGTTAACTTGTTGATTTATGGTTTTATTTTCTCTTTGATTGTGTTTTGTAGGCTTGAGCTATATCTACCGATGGTCTGAGACCAAGTTTTTACACGATGAATATTGTGGTTTATGTTATTCAGGTGAAAAGTCTTGCTTGTGATTTCACTATTGCACTTGTGGTCAACATAGTCGGTTTTACTTCTTTTTTTGAGGCAATGTATGTTAAGTGCAACCTGTTTACATTTTTATCTTGTATTTCTTAACTTATGTAGTAACACTTATAATATTTTCAAGTCCTTTGGCATGGTTCAAAGTGAAATCAAGAAAGAGTTTCAAGAAAGAGTCTTGGACCATTTTCTATATCTCTCAAGTATGTAACTAGCCAGCATTTAATTTTGTTCAATGTTTTCCATTTGGATTATATTTCCTTATCACTCTATCATTAACATGCTTAATTTTAATATGATGGCAGAAAATAATCATTTGTCCCGTCAACTTGTCCGACGAAGTGTTTCTCATAATCATTCCCTAGTGGCGATTGCGTAGGTTTTGTAGATCCTAATTAAGACATCTTCATTCTTAATAATTAAAACAAGTGAAGTTGTTGAGGTAGCTTCTCTACTGTATTTTCTATATAGATTGAGTTTATTGTTCAGATTGTATTTTCGTTATTTGTTAATTGCGCTACATCTGCTCAAAGGACCATCTGGAAATTTTGCAATGGTACTGAATTTGGCAGAATTATTACACCGGTTAGCAGTAGTAAAAATCCTGCAGCTTTAGCCAGAGCCTTTAATTTCTTATCTGTGCTTCCAGACATTAGCATAATGTTAACATCAAGTAATTGTTCCACCATGTATGAATCATGGAAACCGAGTTTATCCCATGCCTTATACTAATCCATCTATTCAACGTGAATATTGTATAATTTTGTTTAGATTGTATTTTTGTACATTTTGTATCATCTTTATATATTGGCTCATCATTGTGCAACTTTTTTCATATGTATTCATGTATTCTTCAACACATTTCTCTCCATTTCCACTTCTCAACAACTTCCCCTAATTCTACTTAATTTTTCAACTCTATCTCTCGATCTTCCATCACTGCATCTTTCCTCACAATCTTCATTTTATATTCCTTTACAGATTTGCTTCACGCAATTTAAAAGTTTGTGATGTATCATCTACAGAGAATCAGGCCTCTCGATACATTCCTGCTGCTCAGATTTTTCTTCCAAAAGGACTATAAGGAATTCTATAATGTTCAAAGACAACTTGCCATAAGGTTACCATTCTTGTTCATGATGAACAAGTTAGTTAAGAATCAAAGTTATTTATATCTATTGCTTAACATGACATTCATTTTTAAATTTTCGTCCCCATGAATTGCATTCTTCGGTCTATTATCTATATGCTACTGTTTCGTTAGAGCAATTTGTTTGCATCAGAATTTTTTGTGTCGGTATGGTCGAACCACATTTTTTACGGTAGTCAAGTTCAGTTCATGGAGTTTGTCGTCATCATTTTAGGTTTTAGTGTATGGAAGCATTTTGAGGTATGGAGCTGGAAGCATTGTTTGCACTTAAGGGCTCGGGGTCTGGCACGATTTATCGCCTCTGTTGCGAGGCTCCTGTCGAGAAGCGTTGATAGGTTATGTTGGGTGATATTTACATGTACAATAATATTTCCATGGTCCTTTGATGGCTGGAGTAGTTGGTGTTGTATCATCAATTTCAGGAATCAATCATATATGTTCATGGACTGCTAACAGTCTGCCGCCTGCATCTTGAGTTGCTACCATGGAGGCTTTAGACTTCAACAAATTCAAGATTTGTTAGATTGGACTCAATTCAAAGATGCATTGCAGGTAACAATCATACAAACATTGAATTCATTTGGAGCTTTGAGTTTAAATTTTCTAATCTATGTTTCTTGCCTGGAGGTACTGTTCTTGGAGCTTTGAGTTCAAATATTCCTGGAGTTCAAATTAATGTTTTATTGAAATTGAATTAGGTGAGTCATTTTGGGGAAATTGTAATTATTATTCTTTGAAACTGACTGGTTAGTTTGGGAGAGAGGGAGTATTGGTTAGGATTTATGAAGCTATGACAGACTAAATTGACAAAATGAGTTTATTGAATGTAATCACATGAACAAGTGTGTTGTCACCGTCGGATACTAGATGCATTTTTTATTAGAAATGTCGAGTGTGTTGTCGATGTCAAACATTGCACACACTTTTGATTAGAAGTGTCGGTGTTACATAGATTACGATATCATAAAACATAGCACATGAGCTTTGTAATGCTTAAGCCAATTTTGTTGCCGACAAACTTTGCATTATCATTTGATTTATCTTTATGGAGGAACATGTAAGTTGGTGGTTTTGTAAATGCAGTTCATGATGATGGTGAACCTTTTCATCCCAATTCTATAATCATAGTAGTAGCGTGACCTATGATTGTTTTCATGTAATGTTATTAATTAATGCTTCACTCTCTGCTATAAGAAAACTATTGGATGTTAGTAGTGTTAATAACCATATTAGAATTGCTTATGCGGGCCTTATCTTTTTCTTGATGAAACAATTTATATGTATAGCTTTCTAATACAATATTTATCTACTTGTCTGGAACAAACAGAAATATGGAAATACAGACATTGATAGTGTTGATTCAACTAATGCATGCTATAGAGGAATTGTCGCTTTGTTCAATTGTGTCAATTGGGTGGAAAGTAATTCATGGGATTGACACTAACAACGGTTGGTCTAAGTCACTAGAATAATTGGTGAAAATACTGCTTCAGATGACTATTCAAATATTGTTATTGGTTTGAAAAAATTATAAAGTGTGAATCTTTCAGCAGAAAGATATAGTGGGGTTAGTTACATATTTCGTCTTTTCTATGAGATTTATGCTATTAGTTAGTTAGTTTCTTTCTTTTCATTGTTTGAAGTTTATCATCTAATAAGTAACTTCTCAACAGAATCTTTGTTACATGGAAAGTGATATGCTGATATTTCCACATATGTAAACTGCCATCATCTCCACCAGTTACTGTCTGAAAGCAAGCATGTTTATTATCTATCTGCTACGAGTATTATATGGAAGAGGGAAAGGCCATTAGTGACAATGTTCATTCATATGGTAAAACTATGTGCATTTGTGCTATTCTCTTTAATTTTTCCTATAGTTTTGTAAATTTATGTAGCTTTATATGCTGGAGAAATGTTGTAAGATAGCATGGTAAAAATAAGAAGAGCACAATTTTTCATAAGATGTTCGATTTGTTTTACCGACTTGATAAATACTTTAATCGACATGATAATGAGGTGTGTTTAGTATTTTCTATTAATAAGCTGATCATTGGTCATATAATTTGTTGCATGGTTTAAATGGTTGGAAGCATCTCTTCCACCTCATCATCATACTCACTGCAGATATGTCTAATAATTTGAGAATGAGTGTGCATAAATGCAAGACGAACAACTAGTTGTGGAAGAAGCATGCATAACAGAATGTCCAGGTGGCAACAAGGTATTGGAGATCATGATTTGGAATCAGAATCAGAAGTGTATAAAAGAGGGAAGGAGGAATGTGTGATGCAGGAAATTCGTGAGTATAGGTTGTTCTTACATCAATGAGATTATATTATTTACATTGACAACTAATATGGTGCTAAGACATATACGATATTTTGTTTTGACTGAGAAATCTTGAATTAGTGTTTGCCCAAAAGGTTGGTAGTGGTTTCTCTTGTGTTGTTAAGGTTGTTGCTGAGATTTTTGTCATGTCTTAAAGTGTTTATTAATTTTTTTGCAAGGAGTTATAGTTTTGGTATGTATACTTTATTCAAAAGGTGTTCGATTTCATTCCTATGTTTCAACTGTTGACAAAAAAAGATGGATGTCAGATACATGGATATATGAAGTTGAGTGGATATATAGTGATTTTTTATATGTGCATATTATTGATTACAGGAAAGAGGGATCAACATTTTGTATTGGCTGAAAATGGTACTTTTGCTGGTGCAAATGAAATTCACAATGACGTTTTTAATTCTATAATCTTGTACCAATTAATTGGATTCAATTGGATCAATGAGATGACTTAGTTGTGGATTTCAATTTAATAGATTCACCTAATTTGTATAAAAACTTTTTTTTTTCCTACAACAATATGAAATCATTCAGACAAGTTTCCAAACTAATTTCAAGTTATTGAGCCAAGACTAAATTTTATGTTTCTTTATTGTTTGTGAGCCAAAATTAATTTCACGAAATAATTGAATCTATATACTACCCTGATTGTCCTACACACCGCTCTTCCAATTTTAATGATAAAATAGAACTACTCTACATTGCATGTTAAGGAAGGGGTATCAAATCTAACTTCTAACTTTTTAGAATATGAATTTAAAAATGAAAACTATATGATAGGGGTTGCATGACTTTCTCCAGTCATAATGTGATCTCGTGCAAACACGTATATGTTATTGATATTAAAATATTGAGATGTTTTTACTTTTATTTAACTTTTATTTACTAATAAAAAATTAAAATATTTTTATATTAATGAATTGATTGATAAAAATATTGAATATTAACGGGAATATAAAATTACCGATTAAAATATTTAATATTAATAGAAATATAATGTTACTGATTAAAATATTAAATATTAACGAGAACATGAAGTTATTGATAAAAATTAGAATATTTACGGGAACCTGAAATTAGTGATCAAAATATTGAATATTAACGGGAACCTAAAGTTAGTGATCAAAATATTGAATATTAACGGGAACATGGAGTTACTGATAAAATATTGAATATTAACGGGAACATGAAGTTACTGATAAAAATATTGAATATTAATTAAAATATAAAGTTACTAATCAAAATATTTAATATTAACGGAAACATGAAGTTACTGATCAAAATATTGAATATTAACGAGAATATGAAGTTACTGATCAAAATATAGAATCTTTACGGAAATATGAAGTTAGTGATCAAAATATTAAATATTAACGGGAACATGAAGTTACTGATAAAATATTGAATATTAACAAGAACATAAAGTTATTGATCAAAATATTGAATATTAACGGGAATATGAAGTTGTTGATCAAAATATTGAATATTAGCGGAAACATGAAGTTACTGATAAAAATATTAAATATTAACGAGAATATAAAATTATTGATCAAAATATTAAATATTAACGGGAACATGATGTCACTGATCAAAATATAGAATATTTATGGGAATTTGGAGTTAGCGATCAAAATATTGAATATTAACGAGAACATGAAGTTATTGATAAAATATTAAATATTAACGAAAATATGAAATTACTGATCAAATTATCGAATATTAACGGAAACATGAAATTGCTGATCAAAATATTAAATATTAATAGAACAACTTTACTATTAGTTTAAATATTTTTTACAACAATTCTAAAACTAAAATAATATTTATATAAAAAATTGTATTATTTATTCAAATATTTTTATATATTGAAAGAATTATAAACAACGATTCATTATCTTTTTTTAAATAAAAATATTTTTATTTTATTATATTTTGGAACAAATGCGCGTACCATACTAATACTCGTGTGAATGCACGGGTATTCTACTAGTTAATTTAAAAATTAATGATAGTAAAAATTGATAACATTGAATTCAAAATAAACTAACGTTAATTTATTTTGTATGGAAAAGTTAATAGAAACATTTTATGATTATATTTTAGTAAAATATATATTTAAACTACTAAATATATTAATGACATTTGTTCTATATTTTATTATTGTTGATACTGTTATGTACAAGTGTGAGTTGAAAATCTTCCTATTTAAAAAAGTGTGAATTGTTTTATATCTTTTAGATAATTTTAGTTGTGCAATACTTTTAAGGAAAAAGAAAGTTAGCAATAAAAAAAGTTGAGATGAAAAACAATGACTATTGCACAATTATTAGAATCTAAAAATTGATTTTTGAGTGTTTTATTTTTAACAAAGAAATAGGTTAGAATCGAATCTGGAATCAGAGCATAAAAAAGTTCCTAACTTACCACTACACTAGTACAAGAGTCTTGTAAAAATCCTAAAACTTTACTATATAATTTAATAAGAATGAACATGATAGTGAGTGGATGAAAATAAATTTTATAGGGTTCACAAGAGAAAATAAGAGAGAGAAATATATAAAAAAAAAACGGATGGAAAATTAAAATATTTAGGAAAAGAACTTAAATAATAAAATTATAAAAATTGGAGATAATTTTCCTGAAAAAAAAAGAAGAAGATAAGCTAAGACTGTACACATGAAATCATATATCCACGAAAGTCATATGCCAATAAACATAATTATCAACAGAATCCTATACTGATAGAACTCTATACCCACGTAAACCATACATTATTTTTTATATGTGATCCATATACCTAGTGTAATAAATTGTTGTAGGTATATGCCACTTATAGCTATAGGATTATCAACAATCATTAATGGTGTCTATTGGTATATGACAAATTTTTTATAGGTTTGCAATAATAATATGTGGAATGCTGGAAGGAGGAATATTCTTTCAAAAATGTTGAGAATTAAATGTCATGTGATGGGTGGTGCTAGAATCAAGAGTTTAAGCACTCTTGGAGTCAATATCGGTAACATTGAAGGCATAAGTTATAATAGATATATTTTCAACTATATTAGTTGATACTTACAAAAGTGTCTTCTTAACAGAACAAGAAAGAAAAAAAATCCCAACAAATAGTAATAAAAAGAAATGTGAACTTCGTTCAAATTATTCCCTTTTAAAAAAAAAAGGATGAATAATATCAGGCGTTAACGGTGTCACCGAAATAACAATAGTTGGAATTAAAAACAATATCTGATTAAGAAGAAAACTAAATAAATCGCGTGCCAACGACTAGGATTTAAGCTGAAACAAGAGCTTGAAAATTTGGGAGCTCATAGATTTTTATTTATATATTTCAATGGTGGACCATTGAATCCTTATTTTCAAGAGGACATTGATCAATTATTGACTCTAATCTCTCTTTACCTAAGAAACGTCTTATCATATATTTTCTATGATTGAGCGATATAAAAGTATTAGGGGCGAGGCAGTACCTCACAGAGGGTGAGATATGATCGCCCCCTTTCCTAGGAGCGGCTTACAGTCATCTCCTTAGCCAGGTCCTTTAAAAATATAACGTTACACATTCCCTCAAGCACGAGGCCCTTGATAGAGGACATAGTGTCTTTAAACCATGATACATCAAAGTATTTTGAGACCTTGAGTTTCTCGATTATATGTGTAACGTGTTAGGCCTATTACTCAACTCTAAGTCCTCAACGAGAGTTTAGTTTAGCTGAGAAATCTAAGTCCCTTGTGCGAATTCATACTATGTCTGACTGGTGAGACTATAAGTCCCTCAGGAGAGGCGTTTGACCTCTCAAGAAGGACTTCTATCAGACCCTCAAACAAGACTTGTAACTAAGTCTCTTAGGCTACACTTTGGAGGTGCCTTTTGGGCGAGATTTCTATGGCTGTTCCAGCTCAAAGAAACTCTAAGTCCCTCCGAAGAGATTTTAATTAGCCTGAAAAATTTAAGTCCCTCAGACAAAGTGATATGTAGCCTGATTAATGAGAATATAAGTCCCCCATGTGAGGTGGAGGACCTTTCAGTCGAGAGTTCTATCAAGCCATCAAACAAGAGTTATGACTAGTCTCTTAGGATACACTTCGATCACTCCTCTTGGGAGATATTTTTATGTCTGATCCCGCCCGAGAAAACTCTTAGTCCCTCAGGCGAGAGTTTAATTAGCTTAAGAAATCTAAGTCCCTCAGGCGAGATAATATGTAGCCTGACTGATGAAAATATAAGTCCCTTGGGTGAGGCGTTATACCTTTCTGGTGGGACTTCTATCAAGCCCCTAAATAAAACTTGTGACTAAGTCTCTTAGGCTAGACTTTGATCATACTTCTTGGGCGAGATTTCTATGTTTGATCTTGCTAGAGGAAACTCTAAGTCCTTAAGGTGTGAGTTTAATTAACTAGATAAATCTAAGTCTCCTAAGCAAAGTCATATGTATCCTGACTAATGAGACTCTAAGTCCCTCAATCGAAGTCATATGTAGCTTGATTGATGAGACTATAAGTCCCTCAGGCGAGGCGTCGGACCTCTCAGACGAGACTTCTGTCAAACCCTTAGACAAGACTTTTAACTAAGTCTTTTAGGATAGACTTCAGTTGCACATCTTGGGCAAGATTTATATGTCTGGGCATACCCGTGGAAACTCTAAGTCCCTTAGGAGAGAGTTTAATTGGACTGAGAAATATAAGTCCCTTAGGAGAATTCATATGTAGCTTGGCTGATAAGACTATCAGTCAATCAAGTAAGGCGTTCGACATTTTATTTGTACCCTATCAGTCTAGCATAACACATTGCCTCAAGGGGCGGAAGTGATCTTTGCCAAGAAGTCCAACATACAAAATATTGCCTCAAGAAATGACAAGGATCTTTTCCATGAAGTCCAACATACATACATTGCCTCAAGGGGCGGAAGTGATCTTTGCCAAGAAGTCCAACATACAAAATATTTCCTCAAGAAACGACAAGGATCTTTTCCATGAAGTCCAACATACATACATTGCCTTAAGGGGATGAAAGGATCTTGGTCATGAAGTCCAGCATAAAACATTTCCTCAAGGGGCAGAAAGCATCTTTTCCATGAAGCCCAACATACAAAATATTTCCTCAAGAGCCGGCAAGGATTATCGCTATGATGTCTAGCATAAAAACATTGCCTCAAAGGCCGGAAAGGGTCTTCGCCATGAAGTCTAGCATACAAAATATTTAGAAAAATGTCCTTGTTAGCCATAAATGCTCAAAAAATTATTCACATGATGGTGTCTTATTAGGAAATTACAAACAATTTAACAGTAATAATATATAAGATGGAGAGCGTTCCAAGTTTTGGGTAAGAGCAGTCCTTGCAACATATGTAACTTGTACACCCCATAAGGAAGCTTCTGGAATATGCGATATGCCCATAGTTGGGTTGTAGCTTTCCCTATTGTACGGGTAGAACCA